GGGCTGTGTGGGATGAACAGATAGCAACGCTCCTTATGGCGAAGTGTAACGTCTCGAGGCCCAACAAGGGTGGGAGGCGTCCTGCCTCGGACAACAAGCCGGCCGACCCCGTGTGGGGTAGCGTCACCCTCAAGAGTGGACGCCTGTGCTTGGACCCTACTTGCAAGACGAGGTCGACGAAAGGGTTCTCGTGCAAGCAATTTTGCACACGGGGGGATGAGTTTGGGGTTTTGATGTGCGAAACATGCTGGAAGAGCCCGGAGACTCACGAGCAGGCGGCAAAGGCTTGCGGGGATGGTGTGTCTAAGGGCCGCAACAGAAAAGGGTTCGAATGGCAGAGGGATTCAGTTGAGACTGCTGGTTGGGGCGCACCTGTGATTCGCACTTGTGTTGCATTTTGTTCTTGGGGGCCGTTGTGTGATGGTTGTGCAAGGGTAGCCCGGGTTGTGCCAGGCACACTGCTCGGCGTTCGTTCGCGTTTGGAAGGAAAATGTCGATAAGAAGTCTGTACCCCCCTCCCCCCCCCCCGCTCTTCGGTGTGTTTTGAAAATTTGAGGGGTGTCACGTTCGGGCTGTGACGGGGGTGAGCGTGGTGAGTAGCTCTGCATACAACTACCAGGACACAATATTCGTGTCCGTTTTTCTTGTGTTGATATGAGGTGGGATAAATGAGCTTAATTCGAATGCCAAACGAATTGAACGCACATGTTCTCGTGCACCTGTCGGAATCCCCGTGAACCTCCAAGATATTCCTGAAGGACAGACGAAAGAAACTCTGGCAAAAGAACCAAGACACATGGAGCCACGTTTCCAAATGTCTTTCTTGCCAACCTTTTTTTTTTAATATATTCATGTTTATTCATAAGTGACACCCGAAGTGCAAGTCCGCCCTGCTCCGCGCGACCGACAACAACCGTGACGAACTCGTGTTCCTATTTTTTTTGCACAACGAAGGTGTGACGGAATGTTGACCCAACCCTTCACCATTAGCAGCAGCACGTGAACAACCGGCCTTTCCAGCATACACAGGGACACACCAACGCCCGCCCCGTCAACACACACGTGCGCCGTTTATGTTTGAGACCTGGCTGATATTCGATTGATGTCGAATATGCTGCAACTACGCTAGCCCGTTCGCCCATTGGGAAATCGAGCCAGCACATTCGCCCGCCGGTCTCGGCTTCATCAAAACAGACAACATAGCTACCTTGCCCCGCGTGCGTAGCCGATGGCACGTGCGTCACACACTACATCGAAAATGCGGCAAGTACAGCTGCGGGCAGCGGCTAGTCGTCAGGCCAGACCGCGCGGCAGGCCTGGGTGAAGCACTCCTGCCTCCTCAGCTGAACCCCACGGCCTCGCGCGTTGAGCGCCGTCCCGGCGTCGTAGCAGGCCTGCACGCGTCTAGGGCATCGGTGTGAACGCGACAACATGGTAGGTGGTGCTGTTTATGCCTGTCCACGTAGATTCTCGACAACGAGAATTTGTCCCTCGGAAGATCCGGTCAGGCCGCGAGGTGTTTGATGTTGTCCGACTAAAATTTAGTGGAACAGAGCACCAGCAATTTTGCTACTGCTGTAACGCGTTTGATGACAGGCTGTGAACATGTCGACCCAGACGATAACAACCCCCCCGCCAGAACTATGTATACACATGTAACTGATCCGCCAACACGCCCGTCGGCGTACTTCCCGCACAAATAAGCTTTCATCACAAGCTTCTTTGCCTGCTGACAGCAGCAGGACACCAACAACGTCAAAGGCTAAAAACACCGATTCCCTCGCGGTGTCGAAGTTGTGTCAACAACTGCAGGTCGTATATGTGAAGTATTCAACACAACAACACAACGCGCCTCTCTTTCCGACCAAAAGTGTCAGCAGGCCACAGACAGATAGATGTCGTTCGTGTGGCATTCCCACCACCACTCTGGCCTCGTACACATTTCCTGGCACACATACACAGCAGTGCATACCCCACAACACAGCAGTCCAATACAGAGATACACCTGATTCCTCATTCTTTTCGTTGTGATCTCAGCTCCTGCTGCCCTCTCTTTCACCATGGTGACGTCGATGTTGGCGATGTGTTCCCCGTGGTACTTTCCGCATGATCCAGCGTGTTGCTGTGCGGCGGCCTGCATCTCCGGCAGTTTGCTGATATCAGGAAGCGGACCCGGCGGAGTATCGTGGTTGCAGTAACGGGCACCAACAGCGACTGCGGCCGCTTGCAAAGCTTCGCGGAAACCCTCAGGCGTTTGTGCTGCTATGAGCAGTAGTTCTTCCCAAACGTTGAGCGGGTTGCCCTGTGGACAGAAACCCTCAGCATGGTGCTGCCAGAACGCGGCTACGTCGTCCATGTCGTCCATTATTGTCGACGTAAACTGCGTGTGTAGCGCTGGCCAGAGGGACTCCGTGGGGTATCGACATCGCTATCGGGGTTGCCATCCTGNGAGATACACCTGATTCCTCATTCTTTTCGTTGTGATCTCAGCTCCTGCTGCCCTCTCTTTCACCATGGTGACGTCGATGTTGGCGATGTGTTCCCCGTGGTACTTTCCGCATGATCCAGCGTGTTGCTGTGCGGCGGCCTGCATCTCCGGCAGTTTGCTGATATCAGGAAGCGGACCCGGCGGAGTATCGTGGTTGCAGTAACGGGCACCAACAGCGACTGCGGCCGCTTGCAAAGCTTCGCGGAAACCCTCAGGCGTTTGTGCTGCTATGAGCAGTAGTTCTTCCCAAACGTTGAGCGGGTTGCCCTGTGGACAGAAACCCTCAGCATGGTGCTGCCAGAACGCGGCTACGTCGTCCATGTCGTCCATTATTGTCGACGTAAACTGCGTGTGTAGCGCTGGCCAGAGGGACTCCGTGGGGTATCGACATCGCTATCGGGGTTGCCATCCTGATTTTTTACACTGGGTGACACCTGTTCTGCCGTGCTTAGCAGAAGGGCCATGCGCAATCTTTCGTGACGCGCTTGTGCCTAAGCCCTTGCAAGGGATAGGCCTACGTCCTCAATGGCGGCAAAGGCTCGTCTATTACCTGACGGCAGTGCTAGACGTTGCATGATGTGTGTGCTGTTGATGTGCATTTTGTGTCCTCGGCAACATGCGTTCAGCCGCGTTTGCCGGATCGCATCCGATCCTGCGTGTTTCTAATGTTGTGGTGCCTACTGAAAGGCACCGGAAGGGCACTGATCAAACGGGTAGGACACTGTTAGACTGCCCATCGCTCGGGGTGAGGCATTCGTGGTACCAGAGAGAGAGAAAGAGAAGACAGCCATCGTGCACGGGGTGCTGTGTTGATGCAGCAGCTACGAACCAGCCTTCTTCTTTGGTTTGTGGGTGATTGCGATGTGTCCGTTGCGAATACGTGCAGCCTACGTCCATGGTGGGTGTGGGCCTTCCCCCTTCAGACCGTTCGGGCTGCACCTGATACTCTATCCACGGCCCCGGCCACGGCCCATGCCCTATTTGCTCGTGCTGGCTGCGCGCAACTCCGCGGGCGCTGCTCGCAACGTATGTGTGCGGCCAGTCAGACTTCGTCCTTCTTCCCCTTTCTATTTCCAAATTTCGGAATATTGGTGGAAAACAGCTTTTTGTGTCTCCCGGAAGAGCCACAGTAACTCCCGTCACACAAGGGTTAACAGCCTGCTTTTCCCCTTTCCCATTCGTCTGCGCCCTATCCCCAATTTCTTCCTTCCCTTCACCATAACCCCCCCTTCTCCCAACCTCCACCTTCAGACTCCGTCTCGCTCCCCCTATCCCCACCTTATTATCCACCATGACCATAAATTGTTGCCTCCCATATCAAGAGCGACTAATAGCAGACCGCTTAGACTCCGAGAGAAAAAATGACCACGTACAGCAGTGTAACCTCATATACCAAATGGCATATTAATAAAAATAAATCCCGAAACGCTAAATCGGCGTAGGTTGTGCGCCTTTCCACCGCGTCATTTGCCCGGGCTGGCTCCCCTTCCCTACAGCGTCCGACGCTAGCGCAAAGGGCGCCTTCTGAAGCCGCTGGTGCGAATACTCTCCACCAGGACTTGCACACTCCGCTGAGTTCACCTGCTGCTGCTGTTCTCTGCCGGGTTGATGTTTTCGATGGGTATGTTGAACTCGCCGACCGCGTACTTTCTCGTCGCGTTTTGTTCCAGGCGGTCCTCTGCAGAAGAACAAGAACAGAAGCACCAGCCCCTCGGCGGCCTCGCCGGAGGGCGTCCGGCGTGAGGACATGATGATGTCCGCGAGTCGGGCGTAGTAGGGGGAAGTCGGTCGTGGTTGTTGCGTCGCGCGGCGCTATCATGTCCGCCTGCAGCGTGCGTGCCGCGTCGTCAGTCACCCGAACTGCAGAACCGTGCCCCGGTCACGGAACGCGATGAACACCTTCCACTGCCCACGGATCCCTTTGTCTTTCGCCTGGGAGGAATCCCGGTGGTCAAAAAGACAGACGTGATCATTCCGAACTTGAAACGATGCGGACGATGGCATGATCGTTTCTAGTGATCATCGGTGTGCCCGAGAAATAAAAGACAGTCCCGCAAGCTGTTCGGAGCTTCTAGGAACTCCAGTTACGCAAAAATATAGATCCGATATTTCCGTGGGGTTAACAGACTCTTCCCAAACGCAAGCAGCCGTTTGAAAACGCATTTGTAATTCCAGAGAGTTCAGAAGGACATGCGAAGTCCCCGCGCAAGTTCTGGGAACTCGCTCTGTGGTTTACGAGGGATGTTTTGATTCAGATGATCATCGGTGACCTCTTGAATCGAAATGACATGTGATCTGTGCAGAAATAGAACGAAAACCGGGACGTCTTCGTGCGTGTCGCCTGTGGAGGTGGGGGCCGACCTCTGATGGTGCGAATTACACATCCACCACTCACACCCAACGGAGGAGGAGCATTCAGGCCACCTCCACAGACAGAACGGACGCCGTCTTCGAACGGCGGCATCGATCGATGATCACCACGGCAACATAGATAGAATATACAAGCTTAGCACATAGTCTACATACATGATATCAGGGCAATGCATCCATCCTTTCACACAAAAACCACCACGACGACGCGAACACCACGAGCAATAATAGGATCGCCAAGTATCGCCGCTTGGCACTTCGCCCCATCTAGTCTACACTCCTGAGCGGGATAGAAAGGAAAAGCGAGGAACAAGACCAAGCGAACAGGCGGCGGAAAAACGAACGATCCCAACTTGCACGCATGTGGTAGGGAGGCTAGCAGGCATCTCCTACTGCACAGCTCGTGGCTTTCCCTACCTGCTTAATCACAAAGGATGTTCGCGTGAGTTTTTGAACCGCGACAGAGCGTAGTAGTCGAATGCTTTCGAACCGCGATAGATGAACTTGCTGCGCTGTGTTAAGTGTGACGGTGTTCGGCAGTTTGATGTTTTAACGTGTGAATGTTTTCGGGCAAGCTCGCCCACGCGGTCACAATTGTATTTTGACGCCTGTGGTGAAGAGGAAAGCAGCCATCTCCTGCTGCACAGCTCGCAGCTTTCCCTATCTACATGTCACAGAGGGTGCTCGCGTGCGGGTTTTGGACTGCGAGAGAGGGTAGTGGTCGAGTGCTTTCGAACCGCGAGAGAGGACTGCTGCTGCTGTCAGCTTGCAGCTAGCTGTGCTCTGTTGCAAGGGGGTTCACAGCTAGACTATGTTGGGGGTGGTTTCAAGAACACAACGAAGGGACCTTATTGTAGGCCGGGGGGGGCTTGTTTGTGGTTGCTGCTGTTGTCGTTGTCTTCACATAAAAAAAACTTTTCGATCTCTGTACCCAGTGCCTTCCTCTCTGTTCGTACTAGTCTAGCAATTGACGCGGTTGATTCCCGTGGTCACAGGCCAACTTATACTCAAGAAGACATGACTCTAATATGATGGACCCGAAGGGTCCGCAAGTCGAAAAATCAACTACGGTGTACTACATACCAAGATAGTCTACCATACATAGCACCCATCGCGAGGGGGTGAGTCTACTTGAAGGTACTTTCGCGTGTTGTGCTGCTGTTGTGATGAAGCGCGAAAAAACTCCCCCCGTTAACTACAAGAGGAGAGGCTCGGTCCAACACCTCTTTCTTGTATTCAAGAAAAAAACAACCACCACGTTCGTTCACGCATTGATGTACAGGGAATCCGTCTGACGGACGCCCACAATGACATGAACACAGGTGGCCATTCGGCGAAGATGTAGGGTTGGGGGGGGGGGAAGGTACACTCATAGGCGTGCATGCCGTTGTCGTTAGACCCCTTGTCGTACACGAACATGTATGGTGTGGAGGAGCGTGGTAACTTATACAAGGTCCGGACCCTGTAAATACACCCAATGGTGCGCAAGCTAGAGGTACCTGCCACGGTGGAAATAGGCACCAACACTTGGTAAGGTAGGTGCCAACCTCAGGCAAGGGGTCAATCGTAAGACCGTTGTTCACGCTCAGGAGAAATCAGGATGCTACCCCCCTCTTTTCTCGGCGTTATCGAGGATGTACTTGTGGCGGAGTCGGTCATCGGCACAACCATCACGTTTGTTCATCAATCACGTTCCCCTCTTCCCCTCTTCATCAGTGAAGCCAACACAGCCATCGAAAGTGTCCTCCTTATCGTCGGTTGCTTCCTGGGTTGGAAGAAAAGCGAATAACACACAAAGAGGTGCCATCTGCCTATTATGACATTAGGACCGTAGAACTGAACCTGCCACGGAACGAGCGCACCCTGCCCCATGCCCATGGACCCGCCGAACAAGACGAGGAACGCAGCAAACCGTTGCACCTGGGTGCCTATCAGCTATGTAACAAACCATGGGCATCAAACTCCTGAATTGTGCACCGTCTCCATTCTCTCAATATTTCGACAAAAAAAAAACCAAGCAAGTATCTTGAACAACTGGTATAAGGGAAACACACTACAACGTCGAATAAAATCGACGTAGACAACATGATTGAGTCGCAATAATTGGATGGATTTCCATGCAACACCCACGTGACGCGAACCGCTCGGATTCGCCACGCAAGACAGAAAACGATACCTTGGTAACGATACCTTGGTTCGCGCCCGCGGATCTACGAAACAACTACGCAAGCAAACCGCGCGAACACTGATAAAGGTGCGCCTACGTCCATTTCACCTCTCAAATATCGAAAACTCGAAGAAACAACGGTAACCTGGTTGCCGAGCTCACGAAGTAAATTGACTTGTTGTACAACGTCGTTGCCAAGCGAAGAAAACCCAATCCCAATCGCAAAACCGAGGGGGGGCTTGTTGGCAACGTCGTTGCCAAGCGGAAAAAAAACAACTCCGATGGAAACCACCGGGGGGGGGCGGTGGGGGGGGCGGGGGCGGGTTGTACTCATAGTCGGGCATGCCGTAGTCGGTCGTCAGACCATTGACCTCGCATCCCTACAAAGCCGGAACGGAGCGCGCCGGGATCTCACCGGACCAGGCTCTCACATCACCAAGCGCGAAGCGCCGTGAGGTATTCGGCGAGTCGCATGAAGGGTGCGCTGCATTCTGCCACGGGTGTTCTCGTGCTTACTTCCTTGCGTACGGATGACAGCTGCGTATGAATTCATATATTTTCTGGTGCGTTCACTTCCAGAGACAGTTGTAAGCACTGTGTAACTGCCTCGAGGGTGCTTGACCATTTTAACACAACGTGGTGCGATCATCCCCCTTGCGCGGAGCGAGGGTTCTCCACCCCGCACAACATGATCTACTCGACCACCATTATGGTTACCGCCAAACAAAAAAACGGAGGAAAAAAAAACAAACGGTAACCTGGTTGCCGAGTTCACGAAGTGAATTGGCTTGTTTTACAACGTCGTTGCCAAGTGACGAAAACCCAATCCCGATGGCAAACACCGAGGGGGGGCTTATTTCACAACGTCGTTGCCAAGCGACGAAAACTCAACCCCGATGGCAAACACCGGGGGGGAGGAGTGGTAAACGGAGTGTACAGCAACACTGCAAGTGGAGTGCAGCCGCTGGTAGAGTGCATCCGTTAGGGCAGGTGGGGTATAGTGACCCGACTTCTGCACCGATGGGGTTGGTAAGAAGTTGTACAAGCAAAACACGTAACATCTAACAGGGTTTTCGCCTGATTGAGAGCGGAGTATACGATTGAGAGCGGGAGCCAAAAAAATTGAAATCGCGGGTCCAGACGCCTCTTGCCATTTCTTGGGAAGTAGGGGGCGGGCTCTTCCAAGAAGCGGCGCAAATTGAAGGTCTCATCAGCAGCGTCACGAGCATATGCGTGTCATCGCGATCGGATGCTGCAGCTA